GTTGGTAGACAAACAAAATTTGGAAAAAAAAAAAAAAAAAAAGACTTATTATAGGGGAAAAAAACCAGCAGCAATATGGAAAAAATAAATAGATCATGACCAACTGTTATTTATCCCAGGAAAGTAAGGTTGGTGCCCAATCTGGTCTGATAACAGCATTTCAAAATAAGTGAATGTAATTCAGCATATTAACAAATTAAAGAATAAGAATAAAACCATATGATCATCTCAACGCATGCAGAGAAGCATTAATTCAATACCCATTCATGATCAAAATTTTCAGAAAAGCAGGAAAACAAAAGAATTTCTTCATCCTAAAAAAAGCTCAACTATAATCTACAGCTAACAACATACTAAATGGAAAAAAGTGGTCTTCTCTCTAAGATCTAGAAAAGGCAATGATGTCTACTCTCACCACTTGTGTTTAACATTGTACCAGAGGACCTAACCAGTGCAGTAAGTAAAGAAAAATAAACACAAAGTATATAAATTGGAAAAAAGAAATAAAGTTGTCTTCAGCCACAGATGATATGATCATCTGTAGAAAACCTCAAAGAATCTACAAAATGCTATTGGAATGATTAAATACCAAGTCACAGAATACATGTTCAGTATATACAATTCTATATAATAACTAGAAATTAAAATTTTAAAAATATCATTTGCAACAGCATAAAAAAACAAATAAATAGGGACAATCTGACAAAATATTTATGATACTGTACACAGAAAACTATACAACATTCCTGTGCAACATCAAAGAAGATATAATTAAATGAAATTATAGTCCATGTTCATGGATGGGAAGCCTCAATATTGTTAAGAGCAAATCATTCCTAAATTGATCTACAGAGTGAACATAATCCCAATCAAAATCCCAGCACAAAGTGTGAAAAATTTTATAAGGTATTTCTTAGATTTATTATAAAACAGCAAAGGATCTAGAACGGAAAAAAATAGTTTTGAGAAATAAGAACAAAGTTGAACTCACACCACCTAATTTCATAAGATAATACAAAGCCATAGTAATGAAGATAGTGTGGTATTGGTAAATGGACAGATAAATGAATGGAACACAAAAATGAGTTCAGAAGGACAATATATATAATCTATAGATTACATATATGTATATAGATGCGACAGAATGAACCTTGACCCTTACTGTCACACCATATGCAAAAATTAACTTGAAAATGGATTATAAATCTAAATGTAAAACCTAAAACTTTTTAAACTGTTAGAAAAAATATAGGAGAAAATCTTTTGATTTGGGGGTGGAAAAATTTTTCTTAAAAACACAAAAAACATTAAGCATAAAAGAAACATAAGACTTCACTGAAATTATTAATTTGTGCCTTTTGAAAGATAAGAAAATAAAGACATTCCATGGGCTAGGATAAAATATTTTTAAAATACATACTAGATAAAGAACTTTTATCTGGAATATACAAAGAAATCTTATAACTCAAAATAAGACAAACAATCCAATGAAAAAAATGGGCAAAAAATTAGAATAGATAATTCATCAAAGAAGATATATGGGTAGCAAACACATGAAAAGATATTCAACTTCATTAGTCATTAGGCAAATGCAAATTAAAACCACAATAATACACCACTACACACCTGCAGAGAAACTAGAACTCTCCAATATTGCTGGTGAGAATGGTAAAATGTACAGCTGCTTTGAAAACCATTTGGAAGTTAGTTTCTTTAACCTTAAACATATACCATATGACTCAGTACTCTTGCTGCTAGGAATTTGCACAAGAGAAATGAAAGCATATGTCTATACAAAGAGTATATATGTGAATATTTATAGCGGCTTTATTCATAATAGCCCAAACCAGAAACAACTCAAATGTCATCAACTGTTGAATGAATAAGTAAGTTGTGGTACATCTATACAATGGAAGACTACTCAGCAATAAACAAAAATAAACTAGTGATAGATGCAATAACATGGATGAATCTCAAAAGCATTATGCTAAGTGAAAAAGTTCAGATGCAAAAGACTTTCCTACTAAAGGACAGTAAAAAGAGATACTATCAGAAAAGATATTATATAAGTGGTTACCCAGGTATAGAGGTTGGGAGAGGGGAATGACTACAAAAGAGATTTGGGGGAAACTTTTGGGAAGATAAAAGTATTCTGTATCTTGATCATGGTAGTGGTTACCCAACTGTATACACAGAAACTCATTTAAATGTTTACTTCTAAAGAGTTAATTTTACTGTATATAAACTGTAGCTTGAAAAACCTGACCTATAAAAAGAACTTCAGTGTTTAGAAATGCATTTATAAATGGCACATTTATAAAGAAGAGCAAGAAAAGGATGACTGTGATGGTCGGGATAACAGTTACCTAGGGAGAAGATGAGGAGTTGGGGAGACAGGCACAGTGAGTGCTTCTGGAGTGCTGGCAAAATCCTATTAACTTGGGTGGGGATATGGGGCGCCTGGGTGGCTCAGTCCTTAAGCGTCTACCTTCGGCTCAGGTCATCATCCCAGGGTCCTGGGATAGAGCCCCACATCGGGCTCCCTGCTCCGCGGGAAGCCTGCTTCTCCCTCTCCCATTCCCCCTCCCCTGCTTGTATTCCCTCTCTCGCTGTGTCTCTCTCTGTCCAATAAATAAATAAAATCTTAAAAAAAAAAAAAACTTGGGTGGGGATACAAAGATGTTTGCTTTATGATAACTGTTAAACTCTGCATTTGTATTTTGTGAGCTTTTCCTTATATATATTTTAATAACAATAAAGCACCATCCTGTTATTCATTCATAAAACCCCATGAAGTAGCTCTTCCAGTTTGGGTACTGAGATCCGGTTACGAGAAGATTCTCCCACAGAAAACAACTAAAGAACCTGGGCGCAGCTCCCTGAGGCACTGGAGAGTAGAAAGAAAAGACCAACTCTGCTGAGAGAGTACATGCTCAGGGGAGAGGAGGAGAGGGCTGGATGAAATGTTGGTAAGTTCACCTATCTTGGAGCTTTTAGCCTGGGGCTAGGTATAGCCTGGTGGAAAACAAAAGTCTCCTCGACTGCAGGAACCAGAAAATTGAAGCCTGGGAACCATGGCTACTGAAGAGAGCGGGGGAACCCCAAAAGGGAAAGAGTCAGAGAAGAGATCCCCAATTGTTTCTAGCCAGACCTCTGACTGCCGAACCACACATGTATGGAACAGACTCAAAGCAGCTCAGGTGAAGGCAAAAGATCTGAACTGAGACTGGAACCACCACCCCCCAAAAAAAGAGTTCACAGTTCATATCCAAGTTAATTGACTGTCAAAATAAAAGTAACATACCCATTGCAGAATAATGGAATTCAGAACCTCTACATCTGTCAGATATTCACTGGGTACCAGCTATATGTCAGGCACCCATATGGCATTATGCTATGCACTAGGAATATACTAGTAAGCAAGATAAAGCGCTTGCCTTCAAGGAGATTACAGTCAAATGGAGAAGATAGCCAAGAAAGTATAATAAAACTTAGTACAGTTGACCTTTGAATTGAACATGGTTTGAACTTTACATGGATTTTTTTTTTTTTTTTTGGTAAATTCAGTATAAATGTATTTTCTCTTTCTTACAATTTTCTTAATAACATTTTCTTTTCTCTAGTTTTTTTTTAACAATACAGTATATAATACATATACAAAATATGTGTTAGTTGGCTGTTTATGCTATCAGTAAGGCTTCTAGTCAACAACAGGCTGTTAGTAGCCTGTTAAGTTTTGGGGGAGTCAAAAATTACATGCAAATTTTTGATTGTGGGGGGCAGGGAGGGTCAGCACCCCTAACCCCCATATTATTCCAGGATCAATAGTAAATTTTTTGATAGAAGAAGTAAAGGAAACATGTGATAGATACACCTAACCTAATGTAAGTAAGTCTTTCCAAAAATTTTAATCAGGCAAAGCCAAAGGAGTAGAGTATCCAAGCAAGGCCTAGAGGTCCAATAGATGGCATACCTAAGAATTAAAAGAAGCTTGGTATAGTTGGTGCATAAACAGTAAGAAAAGAATGACGAGAGAGGACACTAGTGAGTGCAGCAGGGACAAAGTCATCTAAAGAGCCAACCTAAGAAGTCTGAACTAAATTAAAAGCAATGAGAAGCCTCTGAAAGATTTTTAAACAGAGAAGTGATATAGTTCCATTTTCATTTTTGAGAAGTGTTCTTGATGGCTATGTAAACAACAGAAGTGAAGAAAGGTAAGGCTAAGAACAAAAGGGCCATTTAGAAGCGGTTTCAGAATTCCAAGTGAGAAATAATAACTTCATTTAGTTTAATGCAAATGTAGGGACAGAAGTAAGGAGGCATTTACAACATTTTTAAGAAGCTGAACTGACTGGACTTTAAAAAATTACAGAGCAGTGTTGGGAAGAAAGATTGCAAGTCCATTTGTGGGCATGCTGAACTACAGATATTTTTGGAAAAAAGAAGTGGAGCTATTTAGTACACCAATAATAGATCTAGATTTTAGGAGTGGAACCTGTGCTAGAGGTAAAGACTTGGGTTTTCATTAACTCATGAAGGAAAACTGATGTCTTAGATATCAATGCCATATTCCTGGTAGACTGAAAAATGGTAGAAATTTACAGAATCAAAGAATTAGGAGAATATTTTATATTGAAATTTCTAATTTCAATAGCAATAATGCTCTATACCTCTTTGAGTTCCCAGCTTATACTGTATCTTCCTCTGCAATATAGTTTTCTCATCCAAGAAATAAGAAAATTCTAATTGTCAGACAAACTTGGAGGCCTGGATGAGTTTTGAAAGCTAAGAGAAAGTTTTTATATCATAACAACCTGATTTAAATAACTTTAAGAAAAATATGTTTTGTTTTCAAGAAAGGATTATTTTCATACTTAAGGGAAAAGTATCCACCTAATTTACTCTTATTTACTTTAGAATTTAAATGTCTATAAAGTGGGGAGAGAGGGGGAAATAAATGTCAACCAAATACAATTTTTTCATACAGCTAATACTACCTTTAAACTTAATGGAGCTCCAACAAATGAACAGAAACAGAAAAAAGCAGCAAGTAAAAAATATATACATGCTCAGGAAAATGAATATTTTGTTTCAAGCTTACCTTGCTCCTAAATTTTCAATGGTTATATATTCATCCTTTCTCACAACTTCAAACTGCAAGTGATGGAAAAAAAATAGCCCTAAAGTAGTTCAATTTTCAAAATTCTTTAGTGTTACTTCTTAGCCTTAATATTAGAAAAAAGACAGTGAGAATGAAGCTATAGAGGTTTTAAAACAAGTAAAACAGAAGTAACAAGGTGAGCCATAAGCAATCCTAATCAAACAACAAACTAGAGTTGATCTGAAAAAGCAATCCTATTATATATCAGTATAGGATTTAAATGCTGAATCTGAAATACAAAAATATATATATGTAAAGAAAGAAATAATACATATTTCTAATTTTGGTCTATTTACTTATATACTGAAAATTCAACAAGTTATTTCATTAAATAAAAAAAATTAAGTGGATACCATTTGAGTATGTAACAGGTACAATATGTTCTACAGATATATTCATGGGAAGATGCTCACAGGCTAAAAAAAGTTCAGAAAGTCTAAAATTATTTTTAACCTTGGATGGCACAGAATTAGATTATCATTCTCAGTTTATGACAGACTTTCCTCATTGGTACAGCCATGGCCAGCTTTGTCTCTCTCCCTCCCTCCCCCGTGTGTCTTTATTTTTAATTTTTTTTTTTTTAATTCCTAAGGACCACATAAATAGTACTTTGGAGAAATCAAAGCAATAGGAAGGTCAGAGAGCTTAGTCATCATCAAAGAGAAAAAATATGACTAGAATACCATTATTATGATTCTCAAATCTGTTTGAAGTAAAAAATACCATTCCAGTGAAAGCAAACAAAAAAATAAGAAAAAGATACTCACCAAAATTTTAACAATTCCAGGTACATCACATTGTAGCATCCTTACCATGTCACCTGTACATCCTTCCTTCAAACATTTTTTCCCACTAAAGGTCTAAAATTATCAATAGAAAAAACAACCAACATTTGCATCAACATGGATGGAACTGGAGGAGATTATGCTAAGTGAAATAAGTCAAACAGAGAAAGACAATTATCATATGGTTTCACTTATTTGTGGAATATAAGGAATAGCATGGAGGACATTAGGAGAAGGAAGGGAAAAATGAAGGGGCGGGGGAATCAGGGTGAGACGAACCATGAGAGACTATGGACTCCGGGAATCAAACTGAGGGTTTTAGAAGGGAGGGGGTGGGGGGATGGGTGAGCCCAGTGATGGGTATTAAGGAGGGCACGTATTGCATGGAGCGCTATAGGCAAACAATGAATCATGGAACACTACATCAAAAACTAATGATGTACTGTATGGTAACTAACATAATAAAAAAAAAATCATAAAAAAAATACTAATAGAAAAAATATAAAAATAGAAATAGAAAAAAAATCACTAATGTGCAAATCTGATTAAAGTTAAAAGCAGATGTTGCTAGATGGTAAAACAAAAGATGTGGATAAACATTTGAGAGTTAGCTGTTTAAAGACAGTCCATTTCATGTATCAATGGATTTCCTATTTAAAATGCATGATCAGGGGCGCCTGGGTGGCTCAGCCAGTTAAGCGTCTGCCTTCGGCTCAGGTCATGATCCCAGGGTCCTGGGATCAAGCCCCGCATTGGGCTCCCTGCTCCGCAGGAAGCCTGCTTCTCCCTCTCCCACTCCCCCTGCTCGTGTTCCCTCTCTCGCTGTGTCTCTCTCTGTCAAATAAATAAATAAAATCTTTAAAAAAAAAAATAAAATAAAATGCATGATCACACTTTTCTGTCTCATCATTTCTATTTCAAAGTCTTCAAGTACCAAAAAACAGCCTAAAATGTATTCACTGCCCCTAGGGAAAGCAACTTCAAGTGAAATGTACTGATTAAGCAAGTGTAAAAAGGAATACTGAATATCCACCAGATATATGAGGATTCCAGGGAAAAGAATAAAAATGTTGACTCCTTTCTCTGGTTCTGAACTTGCTATTTCCCCTGGTTAAGTTATTTAGTTTTCTTGTACTTCTTTTTCTGAGGTTGAGCTATATTGATTGCCCTAACAATCAAAGAAAGTGAAAAGTATTCATATGTTGCTTAAAAAAATGAATTAACAATACTTCACACAATGATTTTTAGTGTACAATGCAAGTTCACGTTTTATCTAGTAATCCTCACAATCTTAAGAAGTAGGTAGTACTATTCTCACTTTATGGTTTAGAAAACTGAGTCTCTGAATGATTAAATCACCAGCCTAATGTAAAAAAAAAAAAAAGTAAGTGGCTCAATCTGGACTTGAACCCAGATCACCCAACTCTATATACAGTGCTCTTTCTACTATGCCACAATTGCTTTATAAAGGTTTTCTGTTGTCTGCACAATATAAGCACTCTAGAACCAAACAGTATAAACCCAACTTATGGCCATTAGCTCACTAAAGAGTAATCAATATAGAATTGGGCTTTGGATTTCTACTTTCATAAGAATTTAATTTAGTTATATTACTTTAGGTAAATATAAATAATTACAAATATATGATTGAAGACTATAAACTTTATTATTTTTCTCTATCCCTTAAAGAAGAAACTATCCTAAAATTGTATATGTCCTTTCCATTTTTTTGTTTAGCAATTATATTCTTTGATTTTATGTCTTTTATGTGAATACACACAATATTTCTATTTTTTTAAATTTTTCTTTTTTTTTTAATCAGAGTGTGTGAGCACAAGCAGGGGTAGTGTCAGGCAGAGGGAGAAGCAGACTCCCTGCCAAGCAAGGAGTCCGATGTGGGACTCAATTCCAGGACCTTAGGATCATGACCTAAGCCAAAGACAGCCACTTAACTCACTCAGCCACTCAAGCATCCCACAATATTTCTATTTTTAAGAGCATAAACTTCTAAAAGGAAGGGAACAAATTGACAGAAATTACTAACCAAAGCAACTAGCAGAGTATCCCCTGCAAAGATGTGTTTAATAAATGGTGATGATGAACAAAGAATAATGAGGAGAAGAGCATCAGAGACATTAGGGAAAGAAAAATAGAGTGAGAAAAAAAGCAGAGGATGTGAACAGGAAGAAATGGGATGGATAAAGGAAGAAATCCTGTAAAGTTTTGAAGGAAAAACAAATACCTGATCGTTTTCACCTGGATATTTTAAATTCTTGAACTTTTTCCAACAAATTTTATGGAAATAAACACAGCAGCTTTTACTGCACATTAATTGAAAAAATCCCTGGAAAAGACAAAAGTAAGCTGTTGATATGGAAATAATAATTCATGTAGGTATAGAAAATACTACTGTAAGTCTCATTCATTCATTCATTCACTTATTTAGACATGAACACCTTAAGTGACTTTCAAAATTATGCTGTAACTAGGTGAGTTTTACATGGCATTCAAAATTTATCAACAGATCATTAGTAATCAAAGAACTTTATAAGTCATTTTTCATAGGTCCATTTTTTACATCACTAAAGACAGAAGCATTAGGACAAAAAGAAAAGGCAGTGATGGGAATAAGTCAATGTAATATTTTCCATATACTGACACATATACTGTTGTTCTGATACAACAAAATATCAGAAATTTGGTGAGTGACCTTTTTAGAGGAATATGTTATCTACCCCTCTTCACCTCCATTTTTACATTTCTCTTTTCCTCCAGCTCCAATTCCATACCATTTTCCCCTGGCATCTCTGTTAACAATCATTAGACCTGATTTGCAATATTAATAACAGCTACTGTATTATCCCAAGGTATAAATTTCTAGTCCTTCCCAGTATGTACTCCCTGGGAACTACAGTCCTGCTTCCTTTAAATAGGTAAACTACTTGGAAGACAAAGATCTAAACTTTGTGGCCAGGACCTGCTGCTGCTATATGCTGTCCATGTGACTGGAACCCTGGAAGCCTTCCTGGGAAACCTTAGGACCATACCACCATGTCACCTAAACCAGACCCAACTTGCCCCCACCCTAAGCACCCCACTTCACCAGGCACACTTCCCAATACCTGTGTTACTCTAATGAATACATTTTGGATTTTTCCCCCCACCACTCAATGTATACATCATGCCTTGCAACTGGATTTCCATTATATGAAAGAAGTGGTGTCAAATTGACACTGATGGTCACATCTCATCCTATCTTGTGATTTCGCACAGCCTTATTCTGATATAGCCAGAGACAACTAGATTTGATGTACTTTGCTGAATTTCTTCAAATCCAGGCTGGTTTCATTTTGCTTGCCCAAGACCCATTCAACAGATAACGATCACTTACTTAGTAACAGAATTCTTGAAGAGTAACAACCTTTCTCCTTAGTAAAATGCTAATATTCTCAACCTATAACATTTCAAACTATAAAGAATATTTTACATAATTTTTACTGTTATGATTGCAGGGACATTAACTATAACTACAGAGACATGTGAATATTACAAAATCCCTAGCAAAATCGATTCATTTTTTATTGACTCACAGGATATATGTAATTCCTGCTCACTATGAATCTAAGTTCTTTGAGATACTCAGTTTTTTTTAAAGATTTATTTATTTGAGACAGAGGTGGAGAGAGTGCAGGTTCACACTCAAGCAGGGGGAGGGGCAGAGGGACAGAAAGGCAGAGAGAGAATCTCCAGCAGACTCCCCGCCACTATCTATTCGGCTTCAAGCCAGAAATCTTAAAGTCATCTATTGCATAATGGATTCCATCACCCTTTGCATGCAATACATCATCAAGTAATTGTTGCGCCTTTTCCATGATGACCTGAGCTGAAATCAAGAGTTAGATGCTTAACCAACTGAGCCATGCAGGCACCCCGAGATATTCAACTTCTTAACTGCATTACTACTATAATTAAACTAAGAGCTCTTTTTATTTTTTTTAAAGATTTATTTATTTATTTATTTGACAGAGAGAGAGACAGAGAGAGAGAGAGCACAAGCAGGGGAAGCAGCAAGCAGAGGGAGAGGGAGAAGCAGGCTCCCCGCTGAGCAGGGAGCCCAATGCGGGGCTCTATCCCAGGACCCTGGGATCATGACCTGAGCCAAAGGCAGCCGCTTAACCGACTGAACCACCCAGGCACCCCTAAGTACTCTTTTTAAACAATATTTTGATGCATGATGACAGTAATTTTTATCTAAGTTTAATTTTATAATTTCATTTTTAAAAATACTTAAATTTATATTACCTTGTAATTGGTGTTCTTTAAAATGTCAGCTTCACAAGATCGTTCACAATCTAGATAACTGCAAATAGTCTGCTTCATTATATTATTTTCTGTTGTCTTGATAAAATCATTAAGAAGATCCTAGATTTTAAAAATTAAAAAAATCTCATGAATTATTAGTAACAAGACGCCAACACTTCCAATATTTTACCTTAAATAATATGTCCATTTTATTATCTCCCGTTTTGAAGGCATTGTATGTTTTTTAAAATAAAAAAACAGTAATAGAACATATTTTCCTCATTCAAAGTAAACAATATATGGGAAGGCCCTAAATTAGAAATACTGGGTTTATTACTGAACATAAACATGGAGAAAGGAAAAAAGTCTATGTCTGAAGCTGTACCTCTCTTCACCATCCCAACTCATAGCATAACACCTGGCATGTTCCTATTAAAAACTACTTCCTATTAAAAACTATCATACACACACACACACACATCACGGGAGCCCAGGAGGATCTGCTAGAACTGGTCCCCAAAACACCATATTGGCAGTGGGATTCCTGGAGTGGTGCAATATGCCACTCACTGCCATTATGGATAGACGTAGCATACAGAAATATGCTTCCAATGTTCAGAGTTATAACTTGGAATGCAATTACCTATTTTCAAATGCTGATTAAACGTAGGTGAAACACATTATGAACTCTATGTTAAGCAGGTCCTTAGACCAGGTCCTTAAAACTTATCCCTTAGAAAGAGAGTATTACAAGATTTCAAATAGTATTTCTAATATACTGAGAATATACAACATGACAAATAAGCTCCTATAGACTGTTTGATAAATCTAGTCACCATTCATAACATTCCTTTGATGGCATTCAGAATTTTAAATTGATAGCTGATACTGAAGAACAAAGATGTTTTGACCAAGTCAACTAAAATGTTTTAAATATCAAGATAAGAGAGAAAGGCATTTAAGGACCTGTCATATGAAGGTAGTATATTCTGTCAGCATAGCCAATAGCCAAGTGGAAATGCAGAAAAAAGAAATAGGCTCACAGAATGTATATAACTACTGCAGTTTCACAGATCTCAAACTTAATAGTTCAATACTGATCTACTGACACACCCACCAAATATATGCCACATATATACATAAGCCTATATGCAGCTATATGAGTATATTTATCTGTGTTCTCCATTTTCTCTACCCTGCCCCTTGTCTTCTTTAGAACACTAACTACAATTTGTAACTATTAGTTTTTTTTTTTTTTCCTTTTTTAATTCTTTTGTTCCTTGTTCTTTACTCCTTATGTCTTGCCTCTAGTTTTTGGCATTCATTCATTCAACATATTTACTGAGTGCCTGTTATAAGCCAGGTTGTTATGAAAGTTAAGGGATGTTATGGATGTTAAGGAGAAAGCAGTAAACTTAGCAGGTCCATGGGACTTACACCAATATCATCTACCACTATCTATTCAGCTCCAAGCCAGAAATCTTAAAGTCATCTATGGCATAAGGGATTCCAACACCCTTTGCACGCAATACATCATCAAGTAATTGTTGCGTCTTTTCCCAAAATACATTGCAAATTCTTCCATTTCTATCTCCATTGCTAACACTCTGTTTTACCTAGATTATTAGCTGTAATAGCTGTCTAACTGGTGCCCCCCTTCCCCACCTACTCTGCTCCAAGGTATTCTCTATACAGAAGCAAAAAATGTTAGTTCCTTGCTTAAAACCCTTCAATGGCTTCCCACAGTACCTAAAATAAAGTCTTAACCCTTACCATGGACGGACTGCAAGGTTCTGCAGAACGTGCAGAATCTAAATTCAGTGTATCTAGCCATCTCTTTGAATTCATCTCTAGCTTGCTCATTATAAAATTCATATGGTTTTATTTTTTCAGTTCTTCAAACTTGTGTGTCAAGGCCTAAGGGCTTTCCCACACTCTTTTCCATTTACCTAGAATACTCTTCCCCAAGTCTTTACAGAGCTAGTTCTATTCTCAACCTTCTGGTTCCCACTTAAATATCACCTCCCAGAGAGGCACACATGCATATGTGCATCTATACATATAGATAGGTATATACAGGTATATGAGATACAGTGTGTATCTGTTCCCTATTTCTCATTTTATTATAATTTGATTATATCATTCCAGTGTTTAAAAGTCTTCAGGGGTTTCATATTAACTTCAAGAAAGGGTCTGAACCCCATACTTGGCTTATATAAGGCCTTCCAGGATCTGGCTGACATTTACCTCTGATATATTATGCATTCATGAAACAAAAACAGACTGTCATTTAAAAAAAAAAAAAAAAAGGAACATTCGTAACAACAGAAACTCTTGGTAGATAACAGCTGAAATAATCATTAAAATTAAAAATTCAATAAAAGGATAGGAACAAGGGTAATGTTAAAAATAACCATATGAAAGGACACTACCCTGCTATATCCCCCCACAGGATGAGTTTATCTAAGGGGATATATGAAGATAGGAGCAAATGGGGCAGGGTAGGCCTTTGGTAGAACTCACCTAGGATAAAGGGGTACAGGCCAGCCCTCTAAATGCCCTAAAGAAACTAATCACAATGTCTGGGAAGCAAAACTTTTGGTGGGGTACCAGGCACCAATCATAACAGATTAAGAACATGCTGGCCTACAGCCACAACAGGGTCACTGAAGCACTCTGCCCTACCAGACATTAAACCTTTATTGTATTTTAAAGAAGTACAGGGAGGGAGGGCTGGTGGAAAGTCCAAAGCAGCTGGAATGGTGGCTGGGTGCCCAAGAAACCCATGGCAGCAACTGTTTTTGAAATAGTACATAAATATTTTAACATTATAACAACTAATATGATAGCACTAGTGTGCACTGGTTGATTATCAGGCCTACGCAGAAAGTTACAGTTGAGAAAAATCTCCTAGAAAATAAAACAAAAAGATAAAATGTAATAAATAGGGGAAAAAACAAGAAAATCATAGATTTAGTCAAAGATATCAAGTATCTGAATAACAAACATTTCATAAATAAAATGAAAAAATCTAATAAATTTTTTGAATGTCCCAGAACATTTTCAAAACAGCTCAGAACACTAGGGAACACAGAATATCCTAAAAACTCCCAGAAAGAAAAAAAAAAATAAAACAGGTTATAAGCAAAAGATTGAGAATCAGAACATCAGATTTCTCAAAAGTAATACTGGAAGCAAGGAGATAACAGACACTCTGAAAACATGAAGGAAAATAATTTACAACCTACAATTCTATGCCCAGGCAAGACATAAATAAAGTGTGCAAAAAATAAATTATTTTGAAGACTTGAAAGGTCTCAAAAAATTTACCTCCCAGTCATACCCTTCTCTAAGAAGCTGCTGAATGAGTTGTAACACCAGAACAAGGAGTAAACCTAAAATAGAAAAACTTGAGATCTAAGAAACAGAGGATTCTACATAGAAGTGAAGGTTAATCCAAGGAATAAAAGAAAACCCTAAAGCAAATTTAATAAAAATGTATAACTATTGGTAGGATGGGGAAAGAGAAGCTTATGTATAAAGGGGATGTATAAGAGAGCTAATAAACCCTCCTCATCTGCCACAGTGGGAAGTCAAAAGATAATATCTAAAATGGAGAAATATTATAAAAAGCAGTACACATCTTTTCAAAAGATACAGATATATCAAAGAAATATGCCTAGAGAGCTGGAAGAAGGTGTCTCTAGTTAGGAACTACAATCAGAGATGATGGACCACAGACTGTTAATGTTAAGTCTTTTAATATTATTTAACAAACTTTAATATTATTTAACAAACTATTATTTTGCTGGAAACAAAAATTCACTAAAAATGTTTGGATAATAAAGAAAAATATTTTAAAAGGAGGAGGAAAAAGAGAAAACTAAGACCAAGTAGGGACTGCTTTAGGCAAGCACAAAAGTTTAATGTTAAAAATAATATATAAAATCATTATTAAGTCTAGGTTTAAAGTCATGTGATTTTCCTGACAAATGCCAAAGTGTTTGCTTATTCTACTGATTACTGAGAGAGCTATGTTAAAATAGTACTCTGTGATTGAAGAGTTTTCTATCTCTCCTTCTAGTGTTACCAGTTTTTGTCCCATATATTTTGAAGCTATATTTTTAGGTTTATACAATTTGAGTTGCTATAGCTTCCAAGAAAACCGAATTTTGTATTTTTTCAAAACATCTGCTTTGAGGAATGGATTTGGCTTTCAACTCAGCCAATATATAAGGATCTAGAAAGGTTTAAAGTAAAAGTCTGGAAAGAGATCATTCAAACACTACGAGAAACCTACTTTAGCTATTTTCATACTAAACTAATTAAAAAGTTACTTTAATATGGCTTAAAAGATGGATAAAAATTACCGCAAAATTAAGAATACCAAGAAGGTGTGAGGAAATGGAAACTCTCATACTTCATCTTAAGAATACAAACTGGTGGGGTGCCTGGTTGGCTCAGTCGGTTAAGCATCTGACTCTTGATTTCGGGTCTAGTCATGATCTCAGGGTCATGAGATCAAGCCCCGAGCCCCATGTGAGACTCCTTGCTCAGTGCAAAGTCTGCTTGAGATTCTCTCCCTCTCCCTTTGCCCCTCCCCCAGGTCATACGTGCACACGCATGTGTGCCCTCTTTCTCCCTCTAAAAAAAAAAGAAAAAAAGAACACAAACTGGTACAAACTTTGAAAAGAAATATGAAGATATATATCAACAACTTTACAAATGTGTAAATACTTGATTCACAATTCCACCTTTAGAAATTTGTCCTATTGGAATTATGTGGGAAATGCACAAAGATCACTTTACATAATAGTGAAAAACTGGAATGTTTAGGATAAACTAAATGTTCAATAGCAGGAAACTGGTTACACAAATTAAAGCACAGTTACATGATGAACCATGAAAAAAAATCATACTGTACAATAACCTAACTACCGGGAAATTCACAGTATGTATTTCCAAACTACACATCAATGTGCATAACATCATTCCAATTTACTAAAAATAAAAGGTACAAGTGTTTATACATGTGTGTCTGGAAAGACATAAATGAAAATACTAATAGTTTCTCCATTTGAATATGGATGATTTTATCTTTGAGCACTTTTATATCTTTCAAGTTTTCTGAAATAAGTTTTTCAAGTTATCTTAGTACTTTTTAAATTTAAATCAACAACAAAATAATGGTAAATATAATTAGTAAAAAGAATTAACTATTACATTTAGCTCTAGCCATGTGAAGTACTGGACTAGTATAGCCTTTTTTTTTTTATTCTTATGTTAAATCCCCATACATTACATCATTAGTTTTAGATGTAGTGTTCCATGATTCATTGTTTGTGCATAACACCCAGTGCTCCATGCAGAATGTGCCCTCCTCAATACCCACCACCAGGCTAACCCATCCTCCCACCCCCCTCCCCTCTAGAACCCTCAGTTTGTTTTTCAGAGTCCATCGTCTCTCATGGTTCGTCTACCCCTCCGATTTCCCCTGCTGGACTAGTATAGCTTTTAATCTTGTTTGTATATATTAACAAATCTTGTTATTTGCTAACCCATCCTCCACCCCCCCTCCCCTCTAGAACCCTCAGTTTGTTTTTCAGAGTCCATCGTCTCTCATGGTTCGTCTACCCCTCCGATTTCCCCTGCTGGACTAGTATAGCTTTTAATCTTGTTTGTATATATTAACAAATCTTGTTATTTGCTAACCCAGCCACCTCACTTCTCTCCGTGCTGAATCTTACATTCTGCACTAGGTAATGGAATCAATGTTGTTTCTTATATAAAAAGCTAATTTCCAACAAAAGAATGTGCTTGCTATAGAATATGACAAAGTTAGAACAGACCACACTTCATCAAAAATGATTCTGATTAGTCACAGATGAAATGTTCTTAAACAATTTCTTACTTTAAAAGTTGTAGGTAAATCTTCATCTTCTGTAGGATCTATGTCAAACCAATGATCATTTGTATCTCCTATTTCTTGTAAGCTTTTATGAAATTCTAGCAGTCCTCCATTATATCTGCAAGGCATTTTAAAATAAGGTTAGTTTGAAAGGGACTCTAACTAGATAGTTTACCAGTAAGACAATAAGCAACCCCTTTTTTTTTTTTTTTTTTGTGGTAAGTAGGGTGGTGATAACCTCTGGCATGCTATAGAAATACAAATGCTAGGACTCTCACCTGTGGTAGATTGGGATGAAATACAGGTGGAAGGGGAGGCAATAGATTATGTAGTAGCTCAAGCTTGAACAGTATGGGGGCCATGGTAATTAAAGGGATTGTAGAGTTGGTTGGCTTTTGTCTACTGTCTTGGAAGCCTTGAAGAAAGAGAATGACAGGCACAGGTCAGCCAACTGTTGACTCAGGGCACACTGTGAAAGACAGAGGACTCTATGGCAGCATTTAAAAAGGCTCTCATCTCCTACAGTCATAAAGATAATCTGTACTGAAAAATCAGGCCAGATTTAATCACAAGGTGAAACAAACTGCAAAAGAGACCAAATGCACCTCCTTGACAGGACTATTACCAATTCAGGACACTCTGTGAAAGCTAAAAGGTCTCTATGGTAACATTTTAAAAAACCTTTATCAAGACTAATCTTGTAAGGGCAGACTGTGCTGAAAATGAGGCCCAGTATTTAATCACAAGGGTAGAACAACAGCAGAGACTAAAAGCACTGCCTCAGCATGACTGTTATGCTAGAATCAGGGCTTTGATAGGAAACAAGTAGACCCTGAGATCTGAAATGGGGACATTTAAATGAAACCTCTAAATTGTCCTGAACCCTCTGGCTGACAAGGACCCCTTTTTTTTGCTAGAGGAGTACAGAATCCCTTTACTGACCAAGCCAAAATATCATCTAAGGTGTATATATCAAAAGATGATGCCCTTCCTTCCAAGATCCTCTCCTATCTCTTCTCATTGCTCACAGACCAATAACTCTAGGATCGGGTATAAGCAGAGCCCAAGTGGGAAAATAGAGTCCCTGCCCCTAAAGGAAAAGCTGATTCACCACAAGAACTGCAGAACTTGAGAAGTATATACTGGCAGGAACACATGTGGGAGTGGATCTTAAGAGTGCCAAACCAACACACAGACACAGCTGCATAGGGAAGTGTATGCTGATATGGGATGACTCCTCCATAGTTCAAGATTTACTTTCCTAGCAAGGACACCTGAGCCACCTGAGCCAACATGCTGCTGAGGCTACGTCAAGCTTGGATCCAACAATGGCTTACAGTAATTGAGGTGGAGATGCTGGAAATTTTTTGGCAAGGTATTGAAGAAAGCTCAGGGAGATAAGGATGTTAGAATGGACTTCCTACACAAGACCAAAGAAGCCACCACTAGACAAGGCTCCCTGGAAAGGCCCAGAAGACACTCCATCCATTAAAGCAGTTAAGAAATACACAGTGAGAAAGGCACCAGTGTCTTTGAGCAGCTCAGTGGTAACTGTTCTCTGTAGGCCAAGGATGAAAGTAAATGATGCTATCATGTGACTGGGCTTTCTGGTATCAGTGATACGGAAAACAGATTCTCTCCAATGCCCAACGGTAAAGAGACTAAAGAGTAGTTCACACATCTGAGGGAAGGACAGCAGTATACATTCTTTGTCTTGTCTCACAGCTATGTGAATTCTCTTTACGATATAGACTAAAGAGATTCTGACCATCCTGAAATTCTGCAAAACATCACACTGGCCCACTATATTGATGACATCATGCTAGTAAATGGGAAGCAGGAAGTCTTCTGGGTAAAACAAGTAAAAAACAAGCATGCCAGAGGATAGAAGATAAACCTTACAAGAGAATCAGGTAACTCCCACAGAGGTGACTCTTTTAGGAATCCCATGGTTGGGCCCAGCAGTAATCTTGCATAAGGATTGGCACAGCTGCCAAATTCATCTTTCAAAAGTCTCAGCCACACATTATTTCCTCAGGAAGACTTCTGATTCCCAGAACTGGACTGGGTATCCAGTGAAGACTATTTAATTATTTATTGCATTTTCCTTCATAGCTCTTTATCATATTTCATAATTATTTGTGTAACTGATTATTTGATTAAGGTCTATAAACTTCACTATACTATCAGTTACATGAAGACAGGAACTGTCTATTTTGCAAACTATCATATCCCCAACACTTAGCACACACAATCTCTAGAATATACTACATTCTTAGCAAATAAAATCAATAAATTATGCTACAAAAGCTAAGGATCTCCATATAGGAAGTAAATAGATAGTCTGCACAATTTCACTAAATGTGTAATCCCCAGTATTTCCCAAACCCAGCACCTGGACCCTTTCAATGCTTTAGAAGCTCATTTATACCTTAAACATCTATTCCCACTGGTGACAGTATTAATAACTATAACCATCATTTATTTATTAAACCTAGCATTTTTGTGTTCTGAGCACTTATTTAATCATCTGCAACATCCTTATAAGGTAGGCACTATTATTAGTTCCATTTTACAGGTAAGAAAAAATAAGGCTGAGTAACATTACATTTCTCAGGGTCATAGATAGGGTACATGGCAGAAAATGTATTTAAACCCAGGTCTGTCAGACTCCAAAGCCTATGTTCCTCATGTCTTTGCTACACTGCCTTTTATTGCCATGAACTGTTAAGTTTGATATTTAAATATTCTCAAATACATGAAATAAATTATTACCTATAGGAACAGGTGAAGAAGAACCAGTAGAGCACAAATGTCATGATATCTGGTATACTATAAAAACTTTATCCCATTTCACAATGCTAAAAGTTGAAAGGCAAGATCTGCCCGTTTATTAAAATCCTTACCTCTTCTGAGCACAACGAAGCAAACCACGTCCAAAATAAACTAAAGACATAAAGTTCTCACAAATTTCATTCTCTTGGATCACCATCTTCATCACTAGAAATTTATTCTCTGCTTCTGTGTAATCCTGTAGTAACATAAAACTAGGTTTGGCTGATATAAAAAGCATTTGTTTTCTTTTACAATAATTATTTTCCAAACTGGAGAAGTCGGAGCAGCTTTCATATTGATACAGTCATGTAGTCATTTATTCACATCTCTAACCCTAGCACCTGTGATCACACAATGTACTCAGTGATTCAAATACTTATTTACAAAAGAACTTTGATCTTTAGCCAACGTTTCAAAATGAACATTTAGAGAATTTCCAAAATCAACCTTTTGTCAAAATGAAGTCAGTGAGTGTAAGAAGATTTACAAGGGACAAATAACACATGCTACATACCTCTTTCTTTCCTCTTTCAGTAAGTGCTACTCCATACAAAAACAGTAATGTCAAATAATAACCAATATTAATCTGATGTGCCTAAAAGAAAAAAAAATATCTGGTTATTTAGACTAAGCTACTTTTCAGTATACCAAGCTTAATTAAATATCCTAGGCCTATCAAAAAAAAAAAATGAAATCTTACCATTTGCAACAACATGGATGGAACTAGAGGGTATTACACTAAGTGAAATAAGTCAATCAGAGAAAGATAATAGTCATATGATTTCACTCATATGTGGAATTTAAGAAACAAGAAGAGAATCATAGGGGAAGGGAGGGAAAAAGAAAAGACAAAATCAGAGTGGGAGACAAACCATAAGAGACTCTTAACTATAGGAAACAGACTGAAGGTTGTTGGAGCGGAGGTGGGTGGGGGGATGGGGTAACTAGGTGATGGGCATTAAGGAGGGCACTTGATGTAATGAGCACTGAGTGTTATATGCATCTGATTAATCACTGACCTCTACTTCTGAAACTAATAATACACTATATGTTAATTAATTGAATAAAAAATAAATATTTTAAGCCTACTTAGTAATTATTAAAAATAGTAAAAATTATCATTATATTGTCAATCATCTAGTAAGAACAACAGCAAATACATTTCAGATGTATTTGACAATTTGACCCTGAAGAAAAAGGATAGTTGATAATCTCGAAATAAAACATTAGAGTTTGATTAAAGAAAATGGAAGCCATCAGGATTTATTGTCTCCTTCCCCCTCCCACCCCCACATGCTACAAATGGCTAAGATCTCCATACAGAAGTAGTAATGAGTACAACTATATTCTGAGTACCCTGAGTCCTTCTGAATATGGGGGTGGGTCTTGGAGACTCCAGACCCAACACCCACTGTACGAATGCCAACTTCCTAGTTTTGATAACATAAATTGTTATGTAACCTGTAACTACTGAGGAAAACTGAGTGAAGGGTATGCCAAGACCTCTCTGCACTTTTGTATTCTATAGCTATATTTTTGCAACTTCTGTGCATCTAAAATTACCTCAAAAAGTTTAAAAATTGTCCATGAAGAAAATTATTATACATTCTGTTCATAAGCTCTCTACTAACTGAAAATCGTAACTGTATCTTTTGTCACATTAACTTTTTACAATGAGACTGTCCCATACTATAAACAAGATTTTTTTTCAAGTACACAGGGATGATAAGCATCTACAGGATATAAGTTTTCTTCTTTACTGATCTAACTGTATTCTCTTACCTAGCAGAGTTCTCATGGCCAACAGTACACATTTATGAGGTAACTGGCTGGAGTTAGAAGTTTGGCTTCAAATTGATCTCAGTGGAAATAGACATGTGTATTTGCTCTCAATGAACCCATGTAACTAACATCTAACTGGTTTCCATCTTAAAATTCCCATCTTTGCAGAGATGGTAAAATGCAGTTCACAGAATAGACACTTAACACAAGACTACATGGGTTTGTATCCTGACTCCACTACTTACTACCTGATGAATTAAGCAAGTTGTTTAACCTCTATGCTTGTTTCAAATCTATAAAATGGGAATAATGAGGTGGAGTGCTTTCAAAGCGTAAATGAGCTAATCCTTACAAAAAGTGTCTGTCATATAGCAAACATTAAAGAAGTGTAAACTATTATTTTGTAACTTAAAAAAAAACTGGCTTCATAAATAATATGACTGAGCCTTTGGCTCATACAACCCTAAAAAAGAACACTTTGAGGATAAAATGTGGAATTGTTGTAATGCTACAATTACAAGTACAAGGTAAAGAACTCAGGAATTCAGAGATATAGGCAGTACATTTCTAACCAGTATGCTCTGCCCTTTCCTTCCCACCTTCCCCCCCACCAATAGCAGAGATTATTCCAAGTATTGGAACTAAATGGATATAGAGATATTATTGACAACTGTCCCCTGCCCTCACGCCACCTCCTACAACGAAGTTGCCCCACGTATCCTCGGCAGTCTTGAGGAACAGGGAGATACAGCAGTAGGCTGCTCTGATCATGACAATTCCAATTCTGCTCAACAATGCTACCAAGAGAGGGATCTCCTCCATTTCCTTATGTAAGACTCATTTTTGAAGTAATGCCTAAATACAGCAGACTAAACAGTCAGCATCTGTTAATGTTGATTTTATATTCATTTATTTTACTGCTTGGCAACCTGGTTAATGGGAGAAAGAGATCTTTAGCATCCCAGAAGTTTTTGGGAATACTTGTTAATGTAAACTCCCTTTTGTTACCTCTTTGACTCCATGTAGAACTCCTTTAGGGTGGTATATATCACCGCTTAGAACCCTCATCCTGAGAGTACTAAACAAAGATGATTTCTCCACTTCCTTGTACATCTTAGGGATTTGGTGTCTTTGGCTACCTTGGTTGGTACCTAGGTAGTAGTCCTTTCTTGAAGATAACTCTAATCCATCTTCTACATGTGTGCGAAACTTAGTTTACTTTACGAATCCAAAGCATTCAAAGAACTGATTTTTTCCTTTTACTGTCCTATACTATTGGTTCTGATTTTTGATGCCAGTTTCACTTTTCCTTAGGTTTTCTATTTATTTCTAAAGTATCATTTGATACTGAACATATTAAGCATATCTTGTCAATTTTATCTCACATGAGTACTCATTAACAGATAACAGAAGTTCCAATTTTTACAAATATAGAAATATCAGGAGTTGATTAATAACTAGGAGGAAAGGAAGGAGTAATTTCTGAAGTTTATAACTCTCCGTTTCAAATGGGAAAGCCCGTGTTTACTAGTTCAAGTTTCTCTTCATTTAAGATGAACAATTTTATGGTAGGGAAGGGGACTAGATTCGGCTCATTACAGAGATGCAGTCATAAAGTACAAGACACAGGAAGGAAATCAATTTATGCATACCTTTTTTCCAGAGGTAAAAGGAAAATACAAATTGGTCTATACCTTAAAACAAGGATTGCACTGGCTACCCTCTCATTGGAAAATGTTGTCCAAGTCCACTATTTCAAACTTTCAAACACTTACAGTATAATTAGTGGCCTGAATGTTCCTAAGCGCTGCTTCCAGTTGTGTTATCAAGAAACGTAAAGTCAGAACAGGAACAATTTCCTCCCCATTCTGGCTGTTAGCTGCAACTTCTCTCTGTGGAAATAATTTGGTCAAAAATTTCTTTAACTTAAAGCAAATATCTACATACATTTTTATTATACAAGTAATACACGCTAGTCGTAGAAAATCTGGAAATGATTTTTTAAAACTCCACACTATCGGGGCACCTGTGTGGCTCAGCTGGTTGAGCATCCAACTTTTGATTTTGGCTCAGGTCATGATCTCAGGGGTTGTGGGATTAAGCCCCAAGTTGGGCTCCTCGCTCAGCGGGGAGTCTGCTTCTCTCTCTCTCCCTTTCCCCCTCCCCACTTTCTCTCTAAAATAAATAATCAAATAAATAAATAAATAAAAATAAAAATCTATACCACCCAGATACAACTGTTCTCTCATTTGTTTGATTTTGAGTAGTCTGACAAATCTTTGTAACTATTTCCTCAAAACACTTAAACAGCATTCCTATGCCTGCCAAGAGTTGGCCACATCCACTCCTACTTTAGAGGAAAGTGGTAATCTCAGTTTATTCTCATACTTTCTGTTCTCTAAGCATGGCTAAAATTTTCCTTCCAGCCCTGACCTGTAAGAATGCTGACTTAATTCCAACACCAGGGCAAGGCATCTTAAGCTGCAATCTGATTGGAACAAAACTAATATAGGATTTATTATACACCATACTTTGTTATTTATATGGATGAAATGAAAAGGAGGACTATGTCTTATCTTTGTGTCCATTTCTCAGTGCCTTGTACCTACAAGTGCTTCACTTAAATTCCATTATGTGTTTAACAATGTATTATCTGTGTGGAAAGTTTAACCTACACTTTCTTAACATGGTTTCTTATATACAATACTTCGTTTTTCTCCTAGATAGCTAGATACTTTGTCTCCCCAGCACTCAGTTAATGAACCTCTTCTCCATCAACACATACATTCCCTAAAGTAATCCACTGTCATGTTTTTAAATAATGTTTTTAGGGCGCCTGGGTGGCTCAGTTGGTTAGGCGACTGCCTTCGGCTCAGGTCATGATCCTGGAGTCCCTGGATCGAGTCCCGCATCGGGCTCCC